GTCGTATTGAAAGAAAAAAAATGTTAACACATTCGCGACCGCTGACGTGAATTCACGTCTTTTTAAGTTCTATTCCTAAGTGTCGCTGACATGAATCACGTCATTTTAAATTTTAAAAATTTAATAAAAATAAATTTTTATATATATACATTTATTAAATTTATATTTAATTATTTCAATATAATATTTAAATAATTATATTTTATTATATTATTATATTTTATTATTTAAATATAAATTTAAATAATTCATTATTTTTGCCGGTACTCAGTATTAAAAAAAGAAAAAATATGCCAGTCGCGAATGTGTTAAAAGATATGAAAAGAATGTATCAATTTATGCCAAATAAGCTGGAGAACAATCGATAAGGTTAATGATCAAATACTTCAATATTTTTCTTTTTCGACACGTAATTTCGAATTGCCGAGTAATATTTCTTTTTCTCTCTCTCTCTCTCTCTAAGTGTGGCTTGTAATTAGCAGGAAGGTGTAGCGATTCAATGTAAAAAAAAGCACTCGCATCGAATGTTCACTAGAGGGAAAGTAGAGAGAAAGAGAGAAGGTGCCCAATGAAAGAAATAAGTGAGAAAGAAATTAAAAAACAAAAAGAATTTAACAAACGTAACGGATGTTACCGCCGAGCGAGGTGCGAACAGAAAATTGACACTGGTGTCGTTCAGTTACATTGTGGTCGATATTTAATTGCCAATTAGTGAATGCAAAGAGCCACGTTGAACAAGGGCTGGTTCGTTTTACACGTAATATAGACTATAGTTGAGTCTTGGTATAACGTTATGCAAAAGATTTATTAACAAAATTAATTACGCACATTAATAATTATTTTACGTTGACAACGCGAAATGTCTTTTATTATTTGCCTTATTTATATTTTTGATCATGAAAAATAATTCGTATTAATAAGATTTTTATATTTTATTCATTTTATTTTAAATGGTTTCCTATAAATCATTTTTTAATTCGTAAAACGAGATACAATAATACGTGAGAATTTCAAGAACCATGATGCCAACTGATTAACAGAATAATTATTTAAAACCGGTATTTCACGTTTGTCGTTGGATAGAGAAACTAATTATTTTTACGCTGTAAAATTTTGTTAATTCCCTTGGTAATACGCTCATGAAGGATTTTAATGATTTCACGATGTAGACGATGTACACACTAATCATATAAAATATTCGATAGATATGAGAGAAACGTAATTATAAAAATGTAAAGTTACAAATTTCGTTAATTTTTTAATATTTTATTTCTAATTATCATGAGTTCTTTTGTTTAGAAAATAATGAATTATTGATTAAATGTTCTTAGGTTTATTTATTACAATGAGTACGCGAATTAGACATTTTTAAGAGGTGAAACATTAAATGTGAAAGATGAAAAAATTGTAATTGACCCTTTTAACTCTAATTGGTATCATAATAATTATAATAGAACGTCATATGCAGAAACCAGTCGATTCCTAGAAGATCATTTATTACAGTAAACCGAGCACAATTAATTCTAGTATAGCCTTTGTTCGACAAAGGACAAGAAAGCATCATCCTGAAACGTTAAATTCATGTGAAAGACGTCGCTGCATCAGTATATAATTCGAAATTGGCATAGATGGTGTTGGTTTAAGCAATGCCACTCGAACGTGAATCCAATTATAAGCACAAAGCGAACGACGCGAGCCACAGGAACCACGAGCAATGAGCAGACAGGGTTTGAGAGTAGAAGGGATAGAAGTGCCAAGGGTTGCTCGTTTCTAGTATAGGATCTGGCCGAGCTCTACATACGAATCTATATTCACGAATAAAGGGTAGGATCTATGCTCGTAGTGACGTAGGACACTGGAATTTGATTTTACGTATCTTTGACCTTTCGGAAGCTACTGTGCACAATACCAGGCGCGTCCTTTCTATTTAACACAATCTATATCTATATATATATATATTATATATACGCGTTGGAGAAGACGCGTTTAGAGTTCGCATCATCGATACGATTTCCAAGATGGATTTGGATGCATCACGTACCTAGCGTGAAATCGATTTCATACATCGACCTTTCCTCTTCTTTGCCAAGATCTACAAAGAGAAAGACAAAGGTAAGGCGATTTGTAGCCGATGATCAAATGATCTTCACACAAAGTTGTTACCATTCGATCGTATCTTATCGAAGGATACAGCTAAAAGAGGATAAAGAAATTCGACTTTAAAGAATCGTTTCGATTTTCAGGATTTTATTCTTCTATAGTTCTCAGTTCTCCTTCTATTCTTCTTTTCTGGATACCGCGAAACACTGATTTTCTTTGTGTTCACAGTCGCGACGCATCGCGCCTCGAAAATGTTTTCTACCTTCTTTGAAGCATCGGGATACCGATCTGAAGGTAAGTCGAGCGTTTTTTTCTCTCCTTTTCCCTTTTCTTCCTTTGGATTTGCACGGCTTTGCTTGATCTTCTGTACGAGATTTCATTGTGAAATTACCCGCTTGAATTCACGATAGAATGTTCAAGTCAAAGAAAAATCGTGAATTTTATATAGATTGTTCGTTTTTTACTTTACTTTTCTTAGATCCATACAAATTCATTGATTACGGAGAAGACGGTAAACAAAAGTAATGATAATGTCGAGAGGAAAAATTATTTAAATCGTTCTACTAAAATCGTGATATCGAAAAAGAGCATGGCAAATTCATTGAGGAAGAACAAGAAACAGGACAAATCGGTGAATCGTTCCATCAATCTAAATTCTTCCGATCATTTCGAAGATTCTTATTTGGATTCTTTGCAACAACGACATTTACGTGAAAAAGAGTTGGTAGATAAATTAATAAGACAAGCAATAACTTCTTGATCATCTTTATATTTCGAATGTAAGATAATTTATTGTTTACTTATTGCAAACTAAAATATTAATCATCTTACACTGACATATCATTAAATGCGTCACTGAATTATTTGACTATTTTTATTTTTTTACTATTATAATAGGTATAGCCATTCATTTAAATTAATTAAAATATATGAATGGCTACACTTTATTAACCAACACTACAGGTGTTCTTTTAACTTCGTCATAAAGTATATATATCTATATATATACGTATCATTTTTACAAGATTCATTTAAAAGTGTTACGTTTAAACCTTTTATAGCGCGTACTTATTGCCACAAAGAAATTAAAAAAAAAATGATGCCAGTGAATCTTTAATAGTTAGAGTCATGGTACGATGAAAGTGTTACCTTTGATTTCTTTATATTTCTATGCAGACACATTTGCTCTATCGTATTATGTTATCATGTATGGTCAGTATGTTTTTCTCAGAAAGTCAAACGGAGGTAAAAAACAAATATGTAGAAACATAATCAGTCGCTTCGTTACGAATGTTCCTTTCATATATAAACTGTCGTGGTACCCGAGAGATTAGTCGAATTATGAAATATTTAAACTTAATTCCATCGATATAAATTATTCGGAGAACGTTATCTTGGGAGTTACTCCGTCGGTTTCATTGTTATATCCGAATACGAGCTTGGTTTTCCTTGCGAAGAGAGTTTGAAGGAGAAGGAGAGTCAAGGGAGGGAAAAGGGTAGAATTCGTACGTAGATATGTGTACTTGTACACGAGAGACTCGTACTTGTACACGGTTTATACGGACGACAGCGAAGCGTACGGTACGTTGGGGAAATGCGTATACTGCAGGCTTTGCCTCTACAAGATCCAGAAATTATTCAATGCTTTTGACTTTGCCGAGATCGCAAAACCGGGTGAATGTATATCAATGATTTTAAACGATGGACGATCTAAAAACATGGAAGATAAAAATTGATTGGATTTCTACGTAAGTATTACCACAAATTTATTCTTTAACATTAATACATATTTTATTCACAAATATTCTACTTCATTGAATTATTCTATGGAAAATAATTTTATTTACATTCAAGCACGATTTTTTCAAATTTCAAGAGATCCCTATTATATTTATGATTTAATTTATATTTTTCGCGAGTTTAAATAAAACAAACAAAAGATATATTTAGAAAAGCTTCTACACAAAAATGCATTTTTTTTCTTTTATTTTTGTTATTATTTTCTATCTCTTTTCTAATTACGTTGCATCGTAACCTCTACATAAAGGCTGTTTTTAGTGTATTCATGAATATGTAAGCATGTGGTATTAGACGACACATTAAAAAATAATTGTCTAGTTACTGAAGCAAGTGTTTTGAAGAAAGTTATATTCATGCTACGATATAACTTATTAAAGTATCTTGTCTTTATTTTTTAATCCAACTGTTTTTAGGCGGATGTTTAAACGGTTTTCTTATTTATTTTACAACAAAAACGAGCCTGTACCATTTTTTCCAGCGAAACAATGTTACGTCGTGAAAGTTTAGGTTTATAGAAAATAGATTCGCGAAGTATTAAGTAAAATTCAATTTTTTAATTTTTATTTTATTTTAGATATTATCATATAAAATTTAATCTAACGTTTATGTTAGTTAAAAATAATTCGGTTATTTTCTTATATAGCACGAGCGAAGTCAGTTAGTTCGCAGAAATCAAAGAAAATAGAAAGGTCGAGACAAATTGCTTTCAATTATTTCTTTTTCCGACTTTCGTCCTAGTTCTCAGAGAAAAAATTTAAAAGTCCATTTGGAAGATGTTGAGAAAGTTCGCTTGATGTATGTTTAAGTCATCCACGCGTATACATATACACATATAAATATGCATATTAATACATTGCCTAGAAAACGAGAAGAGTTTTACAAACATGCAGGCATATATATACCTCTGCATATTCGCATCTCGCTTGCAGAGAGAGTGAAAGAGAAAGAGAAAGAGAGTGAAAGAGGGAGGGTAAGAGATTGAAGGTATGAGTGGGAGGGTAAGAGAGGAAGGGTGAGAGAGAAAGGGAAGTTGGAATCGATCCACAGGTTGCGCGCGCTTTCTAAGTTCACAGGAGCGCTGTTAGTGGAACGATTTGGAAGCTTTTGCCGGACACTGATAATTTCCACCTAGAGCGTGTAAATAAACCTGCGCCTTTCTTACGACCTATCGTTGGCTTTCGATATGATCGATTAAGCGTTATCGTTGTTGTTGTTGTTGTTGCCCTTACGACGCAAGTGCGTTATAAGCTTAGAATAAGTGTAAGACCTGGATAGGACAAGGACCTACATAGCAACGAACTTGTGAACTCAAAAAGTGTTAGAGCAAGGACAAGTGGAACGAATTTAGAGCTCATAGGGGTTTCTCGTTGGATGAGAAAGGCTGATGCTAGTAGTTGTAGTGAATGTACGCGGATCGAGGCCAACGGGGGTTGCCAGAGACTGATTTCGTCAGCGGGCTACCACTAGAAAGGGTGGCTTGCCTTGCGTGTCAATACACATCAATGATTCAGGTGAGGCTCGTTTACCTTCTCGAATTCTCCTTCTAATTTGTTATTTTTTTTCCTTCTACTTCTTCTTATACTTCTTCTTTATATTTTTTCAATTCTCGTTTTCGTTCGGTTTACAATCGATTTTTAAGTTCTTCAGTTTTCTTTCGTAAACTTTACCCTCCATGTACTTTAGCTTCGATCGCTGCTAAACATAGCACGTTGTCTGAGCAAAAGGAGATGTCGCTACTGACGATTCTAGGTATCTTACCACCCTTTTTCTTACCACGTGGGGTGCGCGCGTACTTTGACCGATTTCTCCTCTTTTATGGCCTTGAATCTTCTCAAGAAATTCTCGCACGCGAGAATTGGCAAATACTTACGAACGATACGGAGTGAATCTTGGAGGAACTAAAGAATTAGGCTTAAGAATGATTAAAAAACTTTCACAGTATTTTAACTTACAATTAACTCGCATTTATTCCCATTTAAATTTTTATCTCAATAAAAAGTTTTCAATAATATTATTATATTTTCTTTTTTTGTTTTCTTTTCTTTTGTTACAGCTAATCGAGTCGAGAATTTTTTTGAACAATTATCCTTATATCGCTAACACATTTACAACTACGCACGCAGCATTATCGTGACTATTGCAGTTACAATTAAACATATATAATATGCATCGCGCGCGCGCGCGCAAAGTTGATTCTAGAATCGCCACGGGACACGCGTTAATTATCGCGATCTGGCATTGCAAAAGTTTCATGCTATATGTACATTTGATAAAATCCTCGCAGGCACGTCGCGTGACTATTCGGACTAGCTAATCCGACATTCAAAGTAAAAATATGTTACGGCACTAACAAGAGTCGATTTGAAGTCGTTGACTTCGTTACGTTCGCGAAACTGCGCCAGGTTCAGTAATGCATTTAAATTTCAAACAAACCACGACCAATACGAGATGCAAAAGTTACTTTGACTTTTCGATACAGCGATCCGTTGATTCAGTAAACTTTATAAGCTTTTCAAATGTTTAGAAGTTAATGCTATATACAACTAAATTGAGTAAACTGAATGGTACGGAAAGGTAGAAACGTGTAAAAGCGTTACTTTTAATGAGATATCGAATGACTCATTTGAAGAATGCAATCTAATTAGAATTTTTTTCCCCTTTCTTTTATATTCATAATCACATACAGAGTTCCGTTTGATTCTATCGAGAGAGAATTTTTGTAAATATAATATATTTGATATATTATATCTTATAGGGTTTTAGTAGTTTATGGCTGACTCGGATATTAATGAATAAAAAATTTGACAAACGTGTGTTTCCACATTTTGCCATTTATTAAAATGCATAGTTGAGTTTGAGCTAAGCTCGTCTAACGTTTTTGTACGTTTTTATGGAAATAAATTTGTAATAGCTTTTGATTTTTCTACCTTTTTTTGTCTGTTGAAAGAAGGTACAGTAAATACTGGACATTGATATGACGCTGTAGACGTATATAAACTGACATATAGAAAATATTCAACCAGATTAAATGACCAATGTTAACTCTTAGTCGGTTCGTGGTGGATCTTATGTAAATAGATAATGGATCTCCAGCACTTGGTTAGGTTATTGGGCTGTTGCTGTTAGTTGCAATTGCCGAAGGGCAGTTCATTACCCGCCGGACTCTGTTTCGATGAGAACTGTGTCGAACTCTAACCATTCATGCCTTTGAAGTGGTAGTCGCCTCGAGGGCGTTCGCTATGAAACAATGAGAATTATCTCTTCTTCTACCTCCCCTCTTTCTGTCTCTCTTTCTTTCTATTTTTCTCTTTTTCTCGCTCTTTCTCCAATACGCCTTTCGTTTCTCGTTTCTCTAAAGGCATATACGTATGTAGTACATGCATGCAAGCGTAAGAGCGTGCGATATCGTTGCTTGGCGTTGCTGATTGGCTCGCTTCGGGCAAGGTATTAATCATCCTGAAATTGGTATGTGAAAGCTATCTTAACGAACTGACGGATGAGAAAGCTTTAAACTACATTTCCATATCGTTTGTCTTTTACATTGAGTGTCACGAACAACGACGTTTCCATAATCGATACTTTATTTATTGAAGTGAAAACTTTGTTAGAATAGGGAGTGATTTGAAAAAAAATGAAACACGGTAACGTCAGGTAACGGAGCGGTAGGCGGCGAGGCAACGGAGCGGTGGGTGGCTAGGCAACGGCCACGATATCTAGTAAGAAGAGAAATAAAAACAAACATATAGGATTGAGCCTGCGAGAGAATGAGACAGAATATAGCTATATAGTTTTTACTATTCTCGGTCTCCTCTTTATACTCTGCTTCGTAGTTATCGCTCCTGGTTGTATATGTGTGTGTTTGTGTGCGACTGCATACTACGAAGCGTGGACACATATTATTTCGATACTCAAAATGTTTGTAGGTAGGAGCGATAGAAGTGTGGAAGAATAAACAGAGATAAGCACGTAGGTATGCGACAAAAGAATAAGGTCCAAATGAACCGACGGTCGAAATAAAGAAAGAAGGTGTGAAGTCTGACTTTGTAAGTTGTATAAGTGTGTAAGTCTGTGTGAGTCTGGAAGGTATATATATACGTGTCATATCTTTTCTATTTAAAAATGTTTCTATCCTATTGAAAAATTAGTATTATATTCTTTATTTCGCAAATATTATAATAAATAATTATGAAATACATAGAATATATAATAATTGTATTGTCTGAAATATTTTAAAAAAAAGAAGGATTACTAGATACATCCGAGAAAAAGCATTAGAGAACACTGTAGGATACATTAGGAGCAGCTGACAAATTCCATTCAAAAGCAAGTAAATTACTGTCACATTTTTATTTTGCTTCTTTATAAAATATATTTGATTCATAAAGACAAAATATGTCTATTAAATTTGATTTTTATATGTATTTATAAAAAATATCCAAAGACATGTACTGACCCATGCATATAAGAAAATTATATTATTAATTGTAATATTTGAGTATTTAAGAAACTTATACTAATTTTTCAATAAAATAAAAACATATTTAAGATGTTGAACACCCAGCGTGAATCGGTGGAGCTTACCACAGGGCTGAAATTTGAGACTTGTAGTTACACAGTTCGATAAACTGAGAAAGCGATACGATTCAATGCGTTATTTAGATTTTTCTTTAGATTTTTTTAGATCTTTATTTAGACGAGAGTATTTAGAAAGATAAGTTTGTGGTCCAAAGAATATGGACGATATGTTATAAATAATAAGGGTCTCGAGAAAGAGAGGTGTGACAGGCTATGGAGTTGAAAAAGTATTTCAAGAAAAGATCTCTATTAGAACTCTCATTGCATTTGTACCAGAACCTTCGTTCAGTCCAGCAGTATTTTCCATATGTTTTTCGTAACGTCTTTATTTCGTCATTCCTAAAATGTTTTTTAGACAGCGCAAAAATGTAGATGAAAGTGAGAATTCGAAAACTATCGTAACCAATAAAATTTTACATCTGAGTTTCACAAAAAGGATATTCTATATTTACTTAATTTCTGACGAATTATATTTCCTTTGATAAACATATTACGATTTTGGTGTCTATTTATAACTATCGCATTCAGCATTCCATTTTTATTGCTTCAATTTGGAAAAGTGTACTTTTTATCAGCTATTCCATTCAGAGACCATACCGGTGACCTTTATTATATATGGTAATAATATTATAATAAATAAATCCTACAATTATCTTACACTTGAAACTGTGCATTCGTCTCATTCTCTCGAAACTTAGATTTTTGAAGGTTTCACTTCTAACTCGTGTGATCTGCACACATGTATTTTTTTATTTTTATTTTTTTTTTGGTCTTAAATTGATAATACTATGCGTGGTATTCAAGAATTTTCTATTTTTCATTATATGAAATTTGCAATTTAGTTTGAGGAACGTTTATTTGTAATCAGAATTGGTTTGATAAGGCATGAAATAATATCTTATTAATGATTATACGAGTAATTATATATTAGTTTGAAATAGTCTCGAATCATATCATGGCTGTGATATCTTGCCTAATGATTCGTTATCAAGATGATTGTAGACCGTGTTATAATTGCTTACATCACACATGTAGAGAGAATTACAGTTACGCGTGGTCTACGCATTATTACTAGAATATCGATTATCAGATTGCTCTGCGTCTATATCTCTTCCTCCATTAATTACTGATAATAGTTCGATATATCGATAATGAGTATTACTTAGTTATATATCAATCATTATTATAAAAATTATCTTTATTACGCCCATGAATTTGCTATCCTATCATGCAAGTAGAGTTATTTTATATATGGAATAATTTTATCAATATTCATTGATAAACAATATTATAACTAAGCGCGCATGATCAGCCCACATATATATATATATGTATAATATTAAGTGAAAGTAAGGGGAAGTCATTCATATTGTATCTGATATTTTTGAACAAACATATTCAACATTATACTTGGAATTATAAATGTCGTTTGCGTTTTGATTTTTTGAAACGTGTTGGCGGAAGGATAAACAGCGTGTTAATTAAAGGCACACGTAGCTAAAAAGTTTCTTGACACGATTTACGCATTAAGAAGTAAGAGAAGGGAGAGCTTTGGCGCGTCTAATTTTTTTTTTATTTTTTTAAGTTTTCTTTTATCGCCCTTTCTTATTTCTTGTTTTTTTTTTTCATGTATCTTTCCTTAGCTACTTCTATTAGTGGCGCATTGTAGAATCGCAGCTTGTTTAATTATCTCGGTGGTTATGTAAATAAAATACGTGCACTAGGAGTAAAATTGAAGACGTGCTAATTATCGCGCAAAGATGTAAAAGAAACCGAAGAAACAGAGCAAAGATGCAAGATGAGTAGTAAGAAGTGAGTTCCTTAATTGCAGTGGTTCCCTACTCGACGAAAGTGTACTCTCTCACTCTCTCTCTTTTATTTTTCTTTTCATAGTACGGTTTATCCATGAACCACATTGCTAAGGAAAAATAACTAC